GTGTGTGTGTGTGTGTGTGTGTGTGTGTGTGTGTGTGAGTTTGTGTGTGCGTGTGTGTGTGTCTGTGTGTCTGTGTGTGTGCGTGTGTGTGTGTGTGTGTGTGTGTGTGTGTGTCTCTTCCCAAGCATTAATTCACCACACAGGACTTCTGTCACCACAAGTCCGTCGTGAGTCGTGACCACTCACCGAGTCACAACATGTGACCACTCCCCACAGGTGTGACAGCTAAGAGGGCAAGGGGGGGACCACAACGAATGATGAGTTACTCACCTTTTTAGGTGGGCTGATGAGAGAGGAGGCACCACAAGGACCTGCCGGGCCATGTCACCGCACAGAGAACACTGAGTTCCGACACAAGGGCCGTGGTGAGTGGGGGAGTGACAAGGCTACTAACCAAAACGCATCTCTGCTTCTCTAATAGTACTGGTACGTGGTGGATAGAGGTCGGTCCTCAACCGCTGTTGGAAGCGGACACGGCCGGCCCGTACGCAAAACCACAAGGCCGAACATGGCGGCACCACAAGGCCAGATGTGGTAAGTGGTGAAGTGGGGCCCTTACCCGGTTGGAAGTGGACTGCCCGCAGGCAAGAGCACAAGGCAACTGTTACAAGTGGGGGAGGGAGGGCCTTAACCTTAGATGGAAGTGGACATCCCACATCAACACCAAAAGCAGAACATGGCAGCACAGGGAACCACACCGGGAAAGAGGTAACGGTTTATGGAAACATAAGGCCACACTTATGGGCAAATCCAGGTACACAGCACCACAGATATGCCCCAACCACACAGCAGCCACAGCTAGCTGCATGGGAGGACAGCTAGCTGCCCCCGTTGGAAGTGGTCGGGCCGCAGCATCGCTGCATGCCCTCAACGAAGCACAAGGCAACCCTAATGGGGAAGACCAACTACACAGCACCAAAGCTAACGGCACAAATGACAGGGCGGATGGGCTGCAGGGCAACAACACAGTGAAGCACAAGGCAGCACAACAACACAGTGAAGCACAAGGCGTCGCTGACAAAGCAGCCAAACTTCACGGCGCTCAAGCGAAGTGCATGGAAAGACAAGGCACACAGATGTCACGCCAGGCAACAATGCAGGGAGGCACGAAGAGCAACTGACGAGGAAACCAAACCACACGACAAACCCACAAGATTCAGGGAAAGAGTTGGCAAGCAGGTGGGCAGCAAGGCGCCCGGGAGGGTAGACAAGGCAGTCCGACGCTATCCATCTCCTACTCACACCACCCGTAGAACCCCACAGGCTGTTGGTACCCACCACCTTCTGTCTCAGGACTGCTGGTGCCCACCACCTGCTGAGTCAGGACGGCTGGTTCCCACCTCCTGCTGAGACACGGAGACATTCCCACGAACATCTGTGATCACCTATTGACCTGTGCACTCATATGCACCCACAGACATACATCCCAACGGAGCGCACCCCCCTAACAGCCCTGCAGGCACTCCAAACAAAGGAACCGCCGACAAATTGGCACTAAGTAGAGGTGCTTGCTTAGGCAGCCTGGACGTACTGAGAATAACATAAGATAGGAAGACATCCAAACATACAACCGATCCTCTGTGTGTGTGTGTGTGTGTGTGTGTGTGTGTGTGTGTGTGTGTGTGTGTGTGTGTGTGTGTGTGTTGTGTGTGTGTGTGTGTGT